GGGGGGGGGGGGGGGGGGGGGGGGGGGGGGGGGGAGGGGTTGCTCATGTAAACGCATGCCGTAGTAGTCGTTATACCGTTGACCTCGCATCCGTACAAGGCCAAGACGGAGCGGTATATGCCGGGTTTTCGCCGGCCCAGGCTACGTCTCACAGGGATGACCCAGAAGATGTGGGGATGGAGAGAAATTGCGCCTTACCGGTGCTCTCTCACGCGGCAAGCACCGTCTTTTCCCTCAAGCAGACACAGCCGATGTTCGGTTTAAAAAGTCGGCAAATTGTTTTTGTAATTGAGCGAACCCTTTCCCTCCTCCTGAGACTATCGCTATGTCCACATTACCCGGGCGCGACGATCTTTATCTTGGTAGACGCCCCCCCGTGTGTGACCCTTTTGACGCCAGGAAGGTGGCGGTGAGCCCTGCCCGGTCGAAGCTGCTTCAGTTGTAGAGCGGGTGATGACGTTAGCGCTGACCGGCCTGCTCTGCAAGGTGTTTGTCTCTTGTGTGTGTTCCCGCCGTCCCGCACCCCTAACCCCCCCCCCACACATACATACACAACAACGGTTATCTAACTTTTCGATATGGTATGACGACAGGCGGAAAAACTACTGGACAGGGGGATCCACCCCGTGCGCATAGGGGAAGGCTTCGACCGCGCGTGCCAGACTGCGGTGGAACACCTGGAGAAGATCGCGGACGCCGTGGAATTCTCCAGGGACAACACCGAGGTCAGCTGATAGACGATGTGTGGTATTCTACTTTAAACGCAAAAGTTCAGAGAAAATGCCCTCTCCCTCTGCCTCTCGCCCTGTGCGTTAGTACATTCCAACACCGAGGTCAGCTAGACGAACGATTGTTGTAGTACAGCAGCAGATTCGAAGCAGTAGTTCAGGGAAAGTGCTCTCTTCGTCTGCCTATCCCGTTGCCGTGGTAGTGTTCCCACCATACTCTGTCCGTACTCTCTGCTAGGCGAACGAAACGTGGTAGATTCGAAGCAGTAGTTCCGAGAAACACCCACTCCCTCTGCATCAGTACATTCCCCATCGTACTCGTTGCCCCCTGTACTCTCTCGTTGTCTCATGGTTTCACCTCTGTCACCGAACGTCCATCTTGAACCAAACCAACGCGTGCACACGCACACGTTCGTGTGTAATTCCAGCCGCTGGTGACGACCGCCATGACGACGCTAAGCTCTAAGATCATCAACGTCCACAAGCAGAAGATGGCCAAGATTGCCGTGGACGCGGTCATGGCTGTGGCTAACCTAGAGAGGAACGACGTCAACTTCGACATGATAAAGGTACAGACGATTTACTACTGCTGGCGTGTTGTTGTTGTTGTTGTTGTTGTTGTTGTTGTTGTTGTTGTTGTTGTTGTTGTTGTTATTGGTTGTTGCTGTTGCTGGTTGTGATTTTGGTGGCATTCGCATCAAAACTGTCCCGACCTCTGTTGAAGTATCATACCTTCGTGCTATTCCATGCCCGTCCTATGCCGACCTGTTTGAAGTACTCAACCCTTTTTTCCGAGTTCGTTTGTTATCCATCCATTGTCGGGTTATGTTTGTCGCGCGCCTCATCATGTCGTGATCTTATGATGGAGCGACTCACCCCTTCTGACGACCATTCGCTGCCGAGCACCCTTTCAAATTTCGATGTTTCAAGTACTAGTGCGTGGGGACCGTTATTCATGTACCGATTTGATCAATTTTTGTCTTTTTGGGGTGACGGAGATGCTTCTCAATCTTCCCTCGGCCGCCGAAAGGTTGACGGAAAACCGGGTGGCGAGCTGGGCGACACGGAACTTATTCGCGGTATCGTCATCGACAAGGAATTCTCTCACGCACAGGTACACCTTTTTTTTTCCTGTTTTTTTCTTTTTGTTCGTTTTTCTTGTTCACTGCTCTTTGAAGGTTCCTCACCAGGTGTGTTTTTGCTGTGGGTATTTTTTTTTTCGGCGCTTTGTTCAACGCACAGGTGCATGTTCGCTGTGGGCATTTTTTTCCCTCAGCGTTTTATTCGTGTCGCGGAGTCATCTCTAGTTTTGGCGGTTTTCGCGGTACGTGTGGTTGTGTTGCCTCCCGCCATGATTGTCCTATGCTTGGGTGGTTGGTTGGAGAAGAAAAGGAAGATCGGCTGAAAGGCTGAAGATACATAGTTCTCCCGTACGATTTTGAAGATTATTACGAAAGGGTGTTTCCCTTTGGGATATTGTGAACGCATTGCCATGTAGGAGCGTCCGAATTGCTGGAGACTCGTCTCTCTGTACCCTGGAGGGATGTAACACCTCTGAAAGTGGGAGTGCGATGTTTTTTTTTTTTTTTGGCTGCCACTGCTTCTACTGCTGCTGCTGCTGCTGTGGAGCTATCTTCCTCGACTACACTTGGAATATAATGTATTTTGGCTGTTTTACTGGCTGCTGCCGCTGCTGCTGCAGCTGTTTTGGAATTATAATATGTTCCATACCTGAAGTGGGAATTTGATGCTTTTTTTGTTTTTTTGATGTGCTACTGCTGCTGCTACTGCTGCTGCTGCTGCTGCTGCTGCTGCTGCTGCTGCTGCTGCTGCTGCTGCTGCTGCTGCGATGCATTCCATCATTTCCCGTTCCACGTCGTGTCGCCACCCCAAAACAGATGCCCAAGATCGTGAAGGACGCGAAGCTGTGCCTCCTGACGTGTCCCTTCGAGCCGCCCAAGCCGAAGACGAAGCACAAGCTGGACATCACATCCAAGGACGCCTATGAGAAGCTGTTCGAGCGGGAACAGAAGTACTTCGCGGACATGGTGCAGCAGTGCAAGGACGTGGGAACCAACCTGGTGAGATAAAGGAGGAGGGGAAGGAGGCGGTTGAAGAGACACCAAGCTGGAGGAGCGGGTTGTTGAAATCACGAAAGGAGGACGTGGGAACCGACCTGTTGGGAGAGGAGCATGGGATTGTGTCGAAAATACGACTGTAGAAGTTTGGAAGAGAATGGACCGGCCTCGGTGACACTGCACCTTGATGCCGTACGGATACCCTATATACACTGGAGGTGCATCCATCCTGATCATGTCGCCACGATTTTTTGCGCGCTTATGTGTAGCACATGGATTCTTTATCTTTCATCGGTTTTGATGAGCGCTCACACACGCAGCACTGTCTGCCAGGTAGGGGCTCCCAATTTGTGGTCACACAGAAGGGTGGGGACGATGTTTGGTGAAAAAAGACTCCCGGACGAGTTTCGCGATAGTTATTCTCCTCAGATAGCATGGTAGGATCAAACAGTCGGTGGCATCACCTCCCGCGGCTGGTGTAAACGTATCCACTCCCTCCCTTTCTTCGAAGTTCTTGCGTCTAATGCAATCTTCCTAGGGGGCTTGAACTACCCCGTATGAAATCGATACCACAATATTGTCTGTGGCGTTCCATGCATTCACGTCTCCCCCAATCGCGTCACAACAATGGTCAATCACCACAGGTGATCTGCCAGTGGGGCTTCGATGACGAGGCGAACCACCTGCTGCTCCAGAACCAGCTGCCGGCCGTGCGGTGGGTCGGGGGTGTGGAGCTGGAGCTCATCGCGATCGCCACGGGCGCGCGTATCGTGCCCCGATTCAGGTGTGATTTTTCTGTGTTATCTTTTTTCGAATATGTTATTGTTGCTCACTCATTGTGGTCGTGGCTCAGGGTTGTTGTTTACGTTTGTTATATGTTGCTGCTCGTGCAGTTATATGTTGCTGCTCGTGCAGTTATATGTTGCTGCTCGTGCAGCTGCTTGTGCTGTTGTTGTGGGCGGCATCGGCGGCGGCGGCGGCGCAGCTGGTGCTCTCGTAAGGCAACGCTCGCGCGTATGCATTGCGGTGCAGGTGTTCAGGGGCCCTTGTCTTTCAGCCGCTTTGTAGCTGTAGTGTGCCGGGTTTCTCTCGCTCTTGTTCCGACGCGCGTATATCTTCAGCACTGGTATGCTATATTTTCCAGACCCGGATGTCTCTAACCCCCCCCCCCCCCCCCCCCCCCCCCCCCCCCCCCCCCCCCC